TGTTCGATGATTAATGCCACTGTGATAAGCTATCAGAAGAGCTCGCACAAGTGGGTTACCCTTAAATAAGGAATGGAGTTACTGGTGCTGGTCCTACAAGGGAAGGGAGGCTCTGCTAAAATGGGTAGAATCAAGGAGACCACTGAATTACCTATCCTGAAAGGTAATTAGGTCTTTTCCCAAGTCTCTGTCTTCCCTCAGACACCTTGAGCAATATCCAGGGCTGGCACTCGGGGTGGGAAAGGACATAGGGAAGATGTACTCTGTCCTTGGGGCTGAGGAAAACTGAGAGTGTTGGGAGGCATAGAGTGAGAGGGAGGAGACTGGGCCCTTCTCTGTGTGTTCTAGAGACCAGGCTGTTGACTGCACCTGGTGGCCTCACACACAGGTCAGAGCAATCCTCTGGGAAAGTGCAACCTGTACCTGGTTGGCCTCAAACAAGGGCTCAGATGTTGGAACCCCTTTCTTTCCCAGTTCACACTGTTGGATGGATGGAAGTGAAATGGGCTTGGAAAGAGAAATGGGAATAATAAAATGGGAATCATCAACAGGAATGATAACTTGTACAGCCTTGAAAGCATTTTACCCTTTGTCCTTGGCTCTAGGAGGAGTTCAGAGATTAATTTCCAGGCATCTATGGAAGGGACAAAAATGTACTTCCCTTCACTTTCCCTCCTGCACCTGGGATCGGGCCAGTCACTGATGTGGCTTCATAATGTCCTGTGGTCTTGGGAGCCTGCCTTGAGCACTCCAGTTCATCCTCTTTCCACCCTTTTGTGCTTCATATGCACATGAATAAACTTTGTCTAGTCTCTGCGGTTAATCTAGCTTTTATCAGTTAATTCCCATGCCCTGAAACAGGAACCTAAATGAGTGGAAAACTTTTCCTCTTAGCACCACTCATGATGATAAGAGTTGATTTGATTAAAAATGTCTTGGATATCATGGGCAAAACAATTTTAAAACCTCATTTAAAAGAATTCTATTCTTTCTACCAAGGTCCCTTTCTTCTCTCCTCTACCTCTTTCCTCCTCTCTCCAGGATTTCAAAACTGCCTGCTATTTTAAGTTCAGGTTTTTAGCAAAACCGAGTTCTGCCTATTACTTGACGTCACCCCCTGTAAAAAGCAATTCAGAGATCACCTAATGTTATTTAAACAGTTTCCTTTGCACAGAATCTAAACACCAGTCCCTATGAACAATCACTGACCTACCATTGATAGATGCTTTCTAAGCACTACTTGAAGCACTTTGCACATCTGACCTTATTTCAGTGTAATAACAAATCTAAATGGTACATATTGTTATCCCCATTTTAGAGACCAGGAAACTGAGGAACAGGTGTTAGAAATAAGGCAAGGCCCCAAATTCAGGGGTCCTGGTAGAACACAAAGCATACTGGTAGAACACAGAGACAGGCAGCTAGGCAAATATCTTTACTCCTGCAGGAGGGCACGCACACACATGGACTGCAAGCACAGGCACACTGAGTAGGGGTCTGCCTAGTTTTTTTAATCTTGATGCACAAGACCTGTCCCTCACTCTTGATTGGAGCTCAGGCTCACAGTCTTTTGTGATTGGCTAATTCAAAGGGAGGGGTTGGCCTTTGCTATTCAAGATGGCGGTGCCCAGGGGAGCTGCAAATCATGCAACCAACATGGCGACTGCCTAAACTGTTCTTTGACAGAAAAGATGATTGCTTATTCTCACACAGGGAAATAAATCAAGTTCTGTAACTTGCCCAGCTCTTAAGGTGCTAAACTACAATTTGGACTGAGAGTCTCAATCCAGAGCATGGACAGCCCTCACCCTGAAGCCAGTTCCTCCCGGAATGTCCCTGCAGTTCAGAGTCAGTGAGTCTGTCAGCTGTTTTAGGGAAAATATATTCAAGGAGAAGAAACTTAATGTTTCTGATGTTAAAACAGTTACTGAAGAGGCACCTGAAACAAAAACAGCACCTTCACGTTGGGACGTGGAATTTCTAGGGAGTTATTTGCAGTGAATGAATGCCCTTTCGGAATGGTTTTTGAAAGATGATCCAGTGGACGAAAGAGGGGAAACTGGGAGTTCCCAGTTAACAACGAAGCAGGTTTTGATGATGGTTTGGAATTTAATGAACATAACTTCTGGATAAATACCTTAAGGATTTTCCAACACAAAGACCAGTTCACTACTTCATGGAGCTGGTGACCTGTGTTCTTTCCAAAAACCCATATCTAAGTGTTAAACGGAAAGTGGAACACACTGAGTGGTTTAGAAATTATTTTAATGAAAGACAGGACAATCTAAAAGGAAGTCCATATGTTCAATGGAAATCTATGGAAATAGTTTTCCTAGAATAAATAATAAATCTAAAGCATAGAGGGAATTTTGATATTTCTCAAGGCTCCTGCCTGGCCTCGGGGGACCTGATCGCATCCCGGCGAGGCAGGGAGGGACCCAGGACACGTGGAAGCAGTACTGCTTGGCCGCAGGGGACCGATTATGTCCCAGAAGGCGAGGCAGGGAGGAACCCAGAACACGTGGAAGCCAGGTCTTTTTTTTTTTTTTTTTGATTGTGTAATTATTTATTACAAATAAACAGTGGTTTCACATCTGTCAAAAACGGGCCCTGTTTTTACATGTGTGTGCAGGTTCTGATATACAAGAAAGGGTCATGTGCTTAGTTCGTCCATGCAAAACTCACAGGTACATCACTAACTACTTTAAAAATAGAATGATCTCTTTTTGAACCAATCTGTTTAGATTCAGGATTAGTAACACAGTATGGAACTAATGAAATACAGTGATAGGAATTAGGAAGTGTGACACTGATGGTTCTGGGCATGTGAAGGGTGAGGGACAGAAGGGTATACACAGTCTTCCCTTCAGTTCTGCCGGAGAGATGAGCTCCAAGGGCCCAAGCTGCTCCATGCCCAGAGGAGGTGGGTGTGGTCAGTGGCTCTGTTTCAGAACTTCTTGCCAAGCAGAGAGCTTACCCGACTCACAGGAACCTTTTTACTCCAGAAAACAGAAACAGCCAGTTTCCAATGGGCATGGGAAAACCAGTGTCCCCTCCTATGCATGGGTCCTGATGGGGTGGTGGGGGAGGTAGGGGAGGGGAGCAGTGCAGAGTTGTTAGGCAGCTGGAGTGGGAGTGGAAAGGCCATGAAATGTCCACAGTCCTGGCTGTGCCCAAGGCCTGGGCTGCTCCTCCAGGCCCTGGCTGAGGGATTAGGGCTGATTCTCTCAGGAAGGGAATATTCCATGGGTGGAAGATTTACAGGCTCAGGGTGGGCCGTGTATTAGTTGGGGCAAATCCCACAACATTCCTGCTGCCAAGCCCTCAAAGGAATGAGGCAGAGGCACCCCTCACCCCCAAGACCCCTTCGTGGACATTTTAGCATCTATGTGATTTTTAATCCCTTCAGGGAGACTTTCTATCCTTCAGTCCCATCCCACCCCACTGTTGCTGTTTGTCTGCCAGCTGGGTAGAGCATCAAGAGGAAGGGGGGTTAATACTCACTGAAAGACTACTGATCCTACTGGGAAACCAATCTGTTTACTGTACTGTTGTAAATATCATACCCTTTATATCCTGTATATTGGCTTCTTTTAAATAAAGTGAAATGTCTTAGAAAAGAAAAAAAGGCAAGGCAGGGCGGGACCGAGAAGACCCATATGGGGAGTGCCACTCAGCCAAAAGCTGGCTCATGGCTGGCCAGCGCAGTGGTGGTGGCAGGAGCCTCTCCCAACTCCGTGGCAGCACTAAGAATGTCCAACTAATGGTTTAGACCTGATCCGTTGGGGACCTAAGCCTTTAGTTGGACATCCCCTGAGGGCTCCCTGGCTGCCAGAAGGATGTCTGACTGCAAGGTTAGGCCTGATCCCCCAGGGAGTGGGCCTAAGTCAACAGGGGTCCTGGACTGTGACTGGGCACAGGCCAGGCTGAGGGACCCTACCACCGAGTGCACAAATTTTTATGCACCGGGCCTCTAGTTATTAATAATGAACTACAACGTTCACTAATGACTCATTGCTATCATCATGTTGCATTCATTTCCCTTATGTGCCTTACTCGAAGGCACACCATTTCTCTCCATTAATATTAGCAGAGAATATTTTAGCAGCTGATTTCCTGTCATTAGTCTTGGACTGACTTGTTTGGTGTGTGCAACAGGAAATCTTTTGCTTTCAGAGAACAAGAAAAATAGGTTTATTTGTGTTACACTTATTAATTTGTGCAGTTATTCAGTGTCTGGTAAGTTAATGTTCAAGAAAAAATACTAATTTTTATTAAAATGTTCTATTACTTTATGTTAATGATTACTCATTTATTTCAGCCCTTTGTATTCAGCATGTCTCTATTACAATAAACCTACATTTCTATAAACATTAAAGCTTTTGTTCTTTTGCAGCCCACATAAATTTAAACCTTGTTTATTTGGCCTGTGTTAGCCTTTGAGTTTGACATGCTTGATGTAGAGTCTTCCTTCTTACCCAAACTGTTCAGGCACTCTACTCTCCTTCTCCAGATCTGGGAAGCCAGACAGCTAGAGACAGCTGTATACCTCTCCCACTTCCCCCAGGAGAGCTGCTGTTAGGAAATTTCTGGTCAAAGCCAGACTCCTGGGAAGAGAGAGGACCTCCTTTTCCCTCCCTCTCCCTTGATTACATATTATGTGCTATTTGCTAATCTCCAAAGACTATTTGGTGAAATGGTCCCCAGAGAAATATAAAGACTTGGTTGGGGTTTGAGCATCAGGGTCTTAGTGGCTTTCCCTGCTACCCCTGTGAACCAGCAGAGAGATGAGATTCGCATGGCAAGAAAGGCCCCTATAGGCAGACTCATTCCCCCTAGCAATTTTGAAAAGAAGAGAGCTTGGGCCATTCCCACCATCCTCAGGGTGCCTTTGTTTTCCTCTGGACTGAAACTCAAATGCTCCTCCCACCCTTTTCACCTTGGAAGCCAAGCCCCTTTGTAATCTACATAAACTCCACTCCCCAGGGATCCTGTGACCGCAGAAACTGGCCTTCCACTTGCTCTTGCCTGAAATCCAAGCTAGAGTCCCAGGTAGGGGGCCCAAGAGGTGGTCTTAGGAGGAGCTTCTGCTTAAGGTTTGGAGAGGAGAGAGGGAGTGTGGGCAAGGCTAAACACTAAGATTGGGCTAAGCAAATGTAGCTGGGGACAGGGCTGGGATAGGAGCAAGCATTCTGGATGCAGAGAACACATAGGTCTGGAGAAGGAGCAGCCCCACGTGGGCAAGCATCTCTCTTTGGAATACAATGGCATTCCTTTATGATGCCAGTGCCAGGCACTGGGTTGAGTTTCCCTAGTGTTGTAGAACAACGAGCTCTTTCCACCATGACCCTGTATGTCATGGCAGTAACTGCGATACAATTTGGCTCATGATTTAGACAAAAATATCTTCTATTGACCCACTAGAACACTGAGTACAACTGTATTTCAGATAAAAACCCTCCAGTATTCAAAAACAGGACCCCTGAGATTTTAGGTCACTTTGGAGGTCACACCCCGAAGGGAAGACCCGGCTCCCTGTCACTAGCAGGGGTCAAATTCTTTGGAGGTGTGTACATGTGTTGTATCACTTGGAAAATCTTGCAGGAAGAAGGGTGTCTTTCTGGCTGACCTGAAGGGAGACTGTAAGCCAGGGAGATCACAGGTGGCACCTGGGGTTCTCTTCTAACCTGATGTTTTTCCTCCTCTCTCCCTTCACTGGCTAGGCTCCTCCAGGGGACTGAGGCCACCATGGCTCAGGAGAAGTCCCTCATCCTGTTCCCACTGCTAGTCCTGGTGCTGTTAGTGCTGGGGTGGGTCCAGCCTTCCCTGGGCAAGGAATCATGGGCCATGATGTTCCAGCGGCAACACATGGACCCAGATGGCCCCAGCAGCAACTCCAACTACTGCAACCAAATGATGAGGCGCCAGCTTATGACAGAGAGACAGTGCAAGCCAGTGAACACCTTCATTCACGAGCCTCTGGTAGATGTCCAGGCCATTTGCCTCCAGGGAAATATCATCTGCAAGAATGGGAAGCCCAACTGCCACAAGAGCAGCTCCAGCATGAAGATCACGGACTGTCGTGTGAAGAGCAGCTCTGAGTACCCCTTCTGTGACTACGAGACCAGCCACAAAGAGAGGCACATCATCGTGGTCTGTGGGGGAAACCCGTACGTGCCCGTCCACTTTCATGCTTCAGTAGAGGTCTCCACCTGAGACCAGAGCAGTGAGATGCCCCACCTTATCGGGTCACCTGTCTCCCCTTCCTCCTTGCTAGCACTGAGGGAAATGACTCAAGTTAGGGCTCCTATCCAACACTAAAGTGTTTCCCTGGCCTGAGACTTGGTCCTGCATGGTTTGAGGGTGAGGGGTGGGTTGTGAGGTGGGTCCTATGTGAACCATTTTACTGCTTCTTTCAATAAAACTCAGTTGCAACTACCTGGCTTCCTGAAGCTGTCTCCATTCAGGTTACTGTTAATGTGATTGCTTTCCTGCCAGAAGGTGAGAACTGTAAATCTGGTTAACTTTGGTGAGCAGCAAGTAGAATCATTAAATGCCTCCTCTCTGACTCTTGGCTTTTAGAGAATTCTTTTTGGAGATAATCCCTTTTCAAGTAGATTCCTTGATGCCAAACATAAAATTTTAAGTGTGGAGGAAAGACTATTCCATGATATGATTCCTGTCCTGTGAGCTGGACCTGGCCCAGAACAGAGATTGCTTCCCATAAATCCCCCTTAGAGACTGTCAGATCATAATTGATGTTCATTCTGACTCCTCCCCTGCCTCCAATGACTTGTTCCTTCCTGAAATAGGCTATTGTCCTGATCTTGTCAAACATGTAAAGTGATTTTTGTACCTCGTAGCATTCACATATTATTATCCCAGATTACTCCCCACCCCTTTTAGCCTAAGTAAATTCATTGGCACCTGCCAGGTGTCCCAGGGATCCATTCTATCTCACAGCCACCCAAGATGGGCTTGTATGTAAGTTTCCCTTAGTGAATTCTATTAATTACCAGACTGGAGTGACCAGCCTCTTTCATTGGTCTTTCCTTGCCCTTCCCTTAGGGAAGTAGGTTTTTAGTCCTGGGACCTTTCCCTGGGTCTGCATGTACTAACAAGTGTGGGCTGGTTAGATAGAAGGGTGCTACAGAGGACACTCATGCTGGGTGAACCTACTAAAATCTCTGACACAGAAGGAAGGACAGTGTGACATCAGGAAGACCCTGCCCAGCTTCAGAGTGGGGAGGGGGAGGAGGGTATGAAATTATAATACTAAATTTTCTTTTCTCTTCTCTTTCTTTTTTCTTTCTGTTTGAGCGAGCTATTACTAAATTAGAAAAATGACCATCTCTTACTTGGAAAATTGGAACTGTCTGTTTAGGAGCTAGAAGGGATTTTAGAAGGAAAAAAAGTAGATTTCAACTTGTGTACAAACTTTCATTCAACTGCTATAGAAGAACTTCTAAACAATGATGTAGTTTCACAGTAGCCTCTACAGAAGGCTTGAGAGGAGTAAGGATGTACATGGCACCTCTGTCCTAATGTAACCCCTGCTTTCTATAGAGGAGCAACCTGAACCTCAGAAAGGTTAAGTGGCTTGCTCAGGGCTGCTGCTAGTTTGCGGCACAGCTGGGACTATGTTTCCTTGCTTCCCAGTCATCCTTTCTGCCACCAGAGTCAACTCAAGAAAAAAATTCCGAGTCTTCCTGCTTCACTACATGCTGTGGACTTGTGGCTCTTCCTGAGCTGGCGGCTCTCACAGATTCCCAGGGTACTTGGCCTTTGGGTCTGTTTAGTTCTTGGCAAAGCTTCCTTACATTTCTTGGACAGACTCAGCTTCTGTCATCACTTAGTCATTTTATTTGTCCCTTTGTTTTACAGCTGTATCTGACTCTAGACAAGGTCATAGGGAGAGGAAGGCCCTACTTCCATCCAGTTTAACTACTTCTGTTATTGTCTTTATATACCACATTTAAAAATGATGGAAGTGGCTATTTTTCTTCTGTAAACTGAATTCTTAGCCCTGGGAACTTCTGTATAAGTAGGAGGGTCTGTAGGTGAGAGCCGCCAGACATTCCTACATTTCTGGGGTAATGGGAGTCTCACTCCTTACCAGTGGTGAGGATGCAGGAGGGTGGGGGGTGGAGGGAGAGAAAGGAAACTTTAATTTTTTAGATTTGTTTCCTTTAGATATAATTTTTCTTAAGTTTATCTCACTCTTCTTCCCAAGCTTAAAACTCATCAGTTTTCTTCCTGCCAGTGCTAACATTTTAGTGGAGATTCTAAGAATGCTTACTTGGTGTTCTGCTGCATTTGTATCTGTACATCACCAGAGCTGGTTTCTGGGTCCTTGTACTTTCTGGGTATTAACTGAAAAAATAGAAAGCAAAAATGAGAGGCAATAAGCATTTTTTTTTCTTTTTTTAAGATCCAAAGGAATTGCAATTCGAGAGAGTAAATTCAGGCAGAAACCCAAATAGTGTTCTCCCTTTATAGGGGCTCAAGTTTTTATGGGAAAAAGGGAGAAAGATGAGGTAAGTTGTATTAAAGAAGTTTATTGGTGCTAGATGAGGTAGGGTTAGATTTGTACTTCATGGGTTGGCTTGAGATTCACCTGAAATTGTATTTAATTTGTTGGTTAGCAATCTGGTCATTCTCAAAGTCTAATTTCACCAGTCTTTACAAATAGGATAGTCTTGGCCTCCTTGGAATTATGGTGGTTTGGTCCAGCTTGTAAGATAAAGAAACATAAGATGTTCAGAGCAGTTCTTCTGTAATGGCTACTTAGGCTCTCTTTTAACTCTATATCCAGTAGTTTGCTTTCTTCCATTTCTTTCATCTATGCCCTGTTTCTTTGTTTCTGCATTTTGGCTGCTTCCCTGTGTTGATAGAGTGGCTTTCTGTTCTAGGTGTCCTATAAGGCCCAGTGGCTCAGCCTCCCCAATTACCTGAGGTGGACACTCTTGGTGCACCCCTTTGTGGGCTTTGTACACAGTCTTGTTGTAGTTAAGTCTTATTGTTGTAGGTATCACTGGGAGGAATTGACCTCCAGGCCAATTGGCTATGAGAATCAGCTGTGTCTACAGTGGGAGAACTTCTATGCTGGAGACACCCTTCTGGGGCAAGACTTGCTTCAGTGGGGCTTTGGTGCTCACTGAGTCTGCCCCCTGAGTGTGTCCCTTATGGATCTGAGGAGTTATAATCTTGATGGTCCCACTCTGACCACTGGGTACACTGGCTCTTGGATCTCTAAGGAGGTGGTAATTTAGCCTCTGCCTGAGGCTACCCAGCAGGAGCTATGGAGAGATCTGCAGATTCCTCTTCTTTGTTTGGGGTTTGGAGGTGCCCAGATGAGGCCCAGCTATGAAGCAATGCAAGCTGCTGTGGGGCCTTGGGCCTTCTTTTGGATGTTGTGGGTCTCTCTGACCCAGCTGCAGTTTGTTAGGTAATTTTAGATTGCAAAGGGATAGGTCATTCATATGCAAGAGCCTCTGTGCACAGCTTGGGTGGGGTGGGGGTCTCAGGGAATCAACAGGGTGGAGCAAACAGCTATGGCTGATCCTCAGCCCTGCCTTAAGAATCCCTGGGTCTCAGTGTCCCGCGGTAATCTCTGCAAGTACCTCTGAGAGAAAGCCACCCTGGAGTTCTGCCCAATGCCAGACAGTCCAGTTTCTGCCTGTATGAGTCTGGGTCCCCAGAGACTTGCCCAGAACTGGATTTCAGAGCAGTCAGGAGCTTGTGCCTCCTTTCCGATCGAAAAAGACAACTGTGTCCTCAGTTGCCAGCTCTTTCCGTGCGTGCCTCCGTACCTCTGCCCTTTACTTCTGCACCTCCTCTGAGTCTCAGTGTGCTTTTCTCTTTTCTTCTAGTTGTAGAATTTCCACTCAGCCAGCCCTCCTGTGGTTCTGGATGATGTCCATTTTGTCTTTTAGTTGAATTTTTTTTGGAAGCAAGAAACTTTATTAAAAAAAACTGGAAAAAATGCAGATTTGTGGTGAAGGATATAAAGAATATATAATTATATTTTCAAGAGTGTCCGTGGAACATTATAATCATCAAATTAAGGTATCAACATTCTCTAACAAATATTAATTGAACTGAGGAAGAACAGTGGCAAGCTTCTAATGGGGTGCCATCCAATAGAATTTTCTGTGGTGATAGAAATGTCCCAGTATCTCTGCGCTGTACGTGTGGAATCCACTAGCCACATGAATATTCAGTGTGGCTATAATGCAAGATATGTTATAAGGACATGGATTTGTAGTATAACTTAGATTTAAATAGCAACATGTGATTAGTCGCTACCAACAGAACATTGTGGTTCTAAACCAGCGGCTTCTTTGGGGCACTCCTCAGTTACTGCTGGGAGGCTGCTGCTGGGAAGAGAGGAACCTCTGAACAGATCTATTTGGCTACTTTAAACAAGATCTAAAATTTTACACAGCTTCTGGAGGTAGGGGTGGCATGAGAGGAGGACTCTCCGGGAGACCTGAGTATGCCCTTCCAACTCCTGGCTAATTCATGGGAGTAAGAGGCCTAGGGTTTGGTCACTCAGATGGGAGGAGGCCCTCAGGCTTGGGCCCTCCTGGGCATCTGTGCATGGAAATCATCACTGTGGGGCTGCAGGGAGCTGGGGGCAGGGGAGGGAGACTCATTTCCGCACAGGGTTTCCAGAGCCAGAGGAGGATTTAGGGGTGGAGGGGTTGGAGGGAGGACCCAAGGGCCCTTTCTGGCTGCCTGCAGATGGAACAGGCTCTTTCTTTTTGGGGATTAAGATCTTGTTCTTGCTCTTGAACACTTTGCTGGGATCCAGCTTGTTCACAAAGGAGTCAGTCTCTTCAGTGAGCAGGCTCGTGTTGTAGGTGATGGGCTTATACATGTTGAACCATTGCTTGGCCTGTGGGCTGATGCCATAGCTGGTGAAGGCGTAATGCCACTGGGGCAGGCCCAGGTGCATGAGGAGCAGGCGGTAATAGGCGGTAAAGGTATCTGTGAGGAAATGCCAGTACAGTGCTCTGTCCAGGAACCAGATCTCAGTGTCTTGTGCTAATGCTGGTTTCCCTTTTTTGTGGATGAGGCAAACCTTCCCATTCCTGTTGCAAAGGTCCAGCTCAAATATCACAGTGTGAGAGTCAAAGTGGGGCTTCTCTGGCTGGTTCTCAATGGCTTCTTGTGTATTGTCCTCCAGGTCAGCCAGAGTTGGTGCATTAGGA